GGGGGGGCTGCGCTGTGTGTGTGTGCGTGCGTGTGTGTATATATGTGTGTTTGTGCGTGTGTGCGTGCGTGCGTGTGTGTGTGTGTGTGTGTGTGAGAGAGAGAGAGGGAGAGAGAGAAATCTTTCACGGATGATTTCTGTGCGAGGCTGTGATTTTAGAGGGGATTTTACGGCACTTACAATACAATATATTATTATACTAGGTCACATTACAAGTGCCGAATTTGGGCCAGGGTTGGGGAATATTATTATGTAGGCCAACTCTCCGCTTCTCAATCATTCTGTAATTGCTCTTTGAACTTCCTTTCTTTTTGTATTAGATTTAAAGCTTTTTTGTGGGCTATTTTTGTTTTGTTTTTTACTCAGGCCTACATCTTAGATCTACATTGGAATTCCAAGTTGGCCCACATAAGAATAAACATTATTATTATTTACAACCGAAATAATAATAGTATAGGCTATACAGGTGCTTAATGGGCATACACGGGCCTACATGATATTATTCAGATTTCAACGACATGCCCAAAGAGCTCTTTCGAGAATAGCCTAGATTTGATATAATCTTTGTCAGAGCTTATACATGTAGCCTACAAATCGTGTACTTATTGAGCATGACTGTTCACTGCATAATCCAATCAAAACCTTAAACTAACAAGACCAATTCTCAAAGCGAAGAAACGAAAGTAGGCCTAGCCTAAATCTGGACCTGGCCAAAGACGATGGCCTTGATGAGCATGACGTACATTGTTATTGTCACGTGACTTTTAGTCCATTTGCAATGGCCGCTGCAAGTGTTGATAAACAGATAGAGGGTCATGGCGAACCCTGTAGAAAAGAAGATTTCATCGACAGCGCAGATCGGATGAGTGAAGCTATTGCCAAAGAAACTAAAGATATACCCCTCGAACCTTTGAATACGCCTTGGACGTTCTGGATTGATAGGTGAGAGAAGGTTATCGTTCTGCTATAGATCTAGACTATGGACTTCCAATTTAGATCTCTTCTTGGCGGAACCCTGCCTCGGACTCGGACTGGACGAGTCGGAGTGAGTCAGAAAGAGACAGCCGAGGCCGAGGGCCAAAGCCAAAATTAGGCTAGATCTATCTTGCGGTTACTTTGGGTTCTGTAGAAAAACCCGATTCTGCTTTTACTTTTAATCTGAGATTGACCAAGGCCCTTGATCTAGGCGCAATTGTTATTCAATTTCGCGGGTTTCGGTCCCAAGACCAAGAGCCAAGAGTGGAAGAGGCTAGCCGTACTTAATGACGGCT